CTACAATCTTTCACCATACTTGTGTATGAAGCGGAAGTTTCTAATGTTGACCTTGTTGATTTCTAGACCTAATCAACCGGGAAATGACATTGATGTCTACTTGGCATCATTGATTGACAAGTTGAGGAGATAGTGGGAAAGTGGGATCTACGGTAACGATTGTTTCCACAATGATTCCTTCGTACTCCGAGCAATGTTGATGTGGGCCATTAACGACTTCCCTGCATATGGAAACCTATCTGGGTACTCGATTTAGAGTTCCATAGGTTGCCCTGTTTGCATAACAGAGACATCTTTGATCCGATTGAAACAAGGAAAGAAGACAGTGTACGATGGCCATAGGAGATTCTTACATATGAATCATCGATACCTCAAACAAAGAAAAACTTTTAATGGTAAAATAGAAGAAAGAACACCTCCAAGACCTTTGATAGGTAAACAAGTGTTTGAGATGGTCAAGAATGTAAACGTGGTCTTCAGAAAAAAGAAAGGAACAAATAATGAACCAGTGATCTGACCTTAGAAGAAAAAGTTGATTTTATTTGATCTTCCATATTGGAGTTCATTGTTAATTCACCATTGCATGGATGTCATGCACATTGAGAAGAATGTTTGTGAGTGGATAGTTGGCACGCTACTTGACATCCCTGGTAAAACTAAAGACGACCTCAATATATGGTTGGATCTAATGAAATTGAACATTAGAGGTGACTTGGCTCCTAAGAAAATAAGCTCCCACACTTACTTACCTTCGGCTAAGTACACATTATCGAGACAAGAGAAGAATGAATTATGTGAATGGCTTGCTTCTGTCAAAGTTTCAAAAGGGCATTCATCTAACTTCAAGAACTTAGTGTTGGTGAAAGAATTGAAGCTGACTGGCATGAAGACACATATTTGTCATACTTTGATAGAACAATTGTTGCCACTTGCTTTGTGTGAGATTCTAACAAAGGAGATCAGATTTGCACTTACTAAGTTTTGCTACTTCATTGACTCCGTATGTTCCAAGGTAGTAGATCCAATGCGTTGGATACACTATAATCAGAGTTGGTGATGACCTTGTGCATGCTAGAGAAGTATTTTTCACCATCATTCTTCGGCATCATGATTCATCTAACAGTACATTTAGTCCGTGAAGTTAGGCTTTGTGGGCCAGTGTACTTAAAATGGATGTACCTGTTTGAAAGGTACATGAAGATTCTAAAAAGTTATGTTAAGAATCAAAATAGGCCGGAGAGTTGCATTGTGGAAAGTTATATAGCTAAAGATGTTGTGGAATTTTTGCTCGGAGTACTTGTCTAACACGGAAGCAATTGGTTTACCAAAGAAGGTAAACATGGAGCCAAAAGGTAAATCTGTAGGTATTCCTTCCTCGGTTCCTCACGAAGCATAAGAATAAGCTTGTCTCTACGTGCTACTACATAATGCTCATGTGGTGGAACCATACATAGAGGTCCACAAAAAATAAATAAAGGCGGCAAACCCAAAAAGAGGGAGAAATGAAAAGTGGTTGCAAGATGAACATAACCACACATTTAAAGAGTGGATAAGGACACACATTTACTCCAAGTTCACGATTCAGGTAATAAAGGTGTGTCGGAAGACTTGTTTAAGCTAGCCGGTGGACCCTTATTGATGGCAATGAAATACATGTCATACTCAATAAATGATTATACCTTCTACACTCGTGAGCGAGATAAGAAGTACCCAGCCTAAAATAGTGGTGTTAGTCTCCGTGTTGATGCTATGCATATTTCTGCAAAAGATAAGAATCCCGTATATAGAACAATGACCTACTACAGTTTTGTGGAGGACATATGAGAACTTGACTATTGCGGATTGTGAGTGGCATTTTTTATGTGTAAGTGGGCCGACAATAATTATGTGAAGGTTGATAGTGATGGCGCAATCGTGATTGACTTTTAAAGAATGGGCTACAAGAATGATCGTTTCATTTTGGCAACGCAAGCAAAATAAGTTTTCTATACAACCGATCCCAATGATTTAGAGTTGTCCTTAGTTGTTCCCATGAAGCCAAGAGCTATCCGTGATGGTGAAGGGGATGATGATGATTGCAACGACATTCCATCGATGAGTTAAGGCTTAGCACCCGTTGACGAGGTTGATGTTTTTTATGATGATGATTCAAACCTTGTCAGCTTAGATGTTGAATGGACATGTGTTGAAAATAATAGAAAGAGAAAAAATAATAAACTATATGTTATTGTTTTTTATATGAACATTTAATTAATATATTGTTGTGATATTAATCATAAACTACATTTATTGATGTATTATTTAATATTTATAATTCATTTTTATTTAGAAATTTAATATTTTATTTTGCGGTTGTATGGTTTTGTGAATTGCGGCAAAAAAGCTAATAAAACACGGGATTAATAGGCCAACCTGCGGGACAATAAAAAAGCTGCTCGATTTTTTTTTATTTGAGAAGAACGTATAACGATAGTTTTTATAAAAAAAATTGTCGTTAAATCTCAATATTAGATGACGGTTTTATAAAATACGCGCCAAGTCTATTATTGTTGAGATTAGACGACAGTTAACTAAGAAAATTGTCGTCTAATGTAATTTTTAACGACAGATAAAAACCGTCGTTATATACCACGAACATTTAACGACTCGGGATTAGACGACAGTTAATCTTTTAACAACGGTTATTAACGCTCATGATGTAAGCCTGCATTAGTACTTCATTTAAAATAATAAATGGTTGTAGTTTAAGGCTAAGTTCACGCTCATTTTGATATTGAGGTTTTTCAAAAATATCTTTAAAATAATCATGAGTGTAAGACTTTGAATACGTATATATTCCTATTGACTAACGGTCTACATGTACCCAACATATCGGATAGCGAAGATTTCTTATTATCGTTAACTAATCTATTGTGACTGGATCATGATTTGACCTAATTATGAAAGATGGAAAGACACGTGTTTTACCAAGACTAGTAATAAGTCATTGAGGCGCAAGTTTTGTTTGTATATAGAACATGCTTGTTTGTTTAGTTTCAATAGTTTTTAATATTTATAAAATTATGAAGAAGTAAAAAAAAATGTTATTTGCTCTTAGTTATGAAAAGTAGTATTCCGAGTGGCATGGTCGAACGGAGATATGATTGGATACCATGATGATAAATAATTATTATTATTATTTTAGGAGATAAATCAGTATTGTTTTAGACTAATTCAATTTTCATTTTTTCGGTCATCTTGTATAGCTTAACCTGATCGTTGCGCATTCCTTTATTGCTTTTATGGTTGTTGTCGTTTTGCATTGCATGCTGATGCCGCTTATTTAGGTTCTATCATTTCTGATAGGTGTCATTTTTTAAGATATATATATATATATATATATATTAAATATCTATTGTCGTTGACGGATTACAATTTATCACCTGCCAATTGTCTCATCGACATCAAAGATATGCATATGTTTTGTGCCTTGCACTATCTTCACTAGCATCCAGACACCGGCAGACTGCCATCTCTTCCCAATACTCTCCGCCTTTCACGGTGGTGCCGCCCTTTGTACATCCGGAAGAATAAAAAAAATGTCAAATATGCTATTCTTTCCCTTAACTATAACAACGGCTAGGTAGTAGTTAGTTGTACAACATAATACATATGGAAAATCAATCATTACATTTTGGTTGGGAGTGTTTGAAATCAAAGAAAAACTAGCTTTGAGGAGTTTTTTTCTCCAATATAAACCTTACTATTCGAAATTTCTTGCTGTGGAAGCAATAGAAATCAATCTGAACGAGGCAACAAGAAACTGAACCCCGAGTTCTTGAGGATAAGTGGTGGCGGTTCAATGTCAACGATGTCTATTTGCTCCATCGATTTCAACAAGTCGTCAACAAAAATGGAATACTGCAACAGAAAAAAAATTGTGAGTGATTATCCATATGTAACAGTAAATTTCTTGCATCGCAAGTCAATGAGTTCTAATCAATAACTAACCTGGAATCGTCATCTAACAGGAAAGAATTACTAACGGCATTATTAGAATCTTCCGTCATTAGAACCCTCATATTGAAAATAACCTTAAATTTTCATTAGAACCCTCATATTGGAATCTTCCGTCGTTTAATGCAAAGATTCATCAATTCTCTTCAATAAAGTTTTATTTTCAGTCCAGTTTCTTTCTCTAGAATGGTATTACGTATAAGAGACCTCTTGAAACATCATATTTCATGTCTTGTAAAATTTAGCTATGCATGTGGTTTTTAATTCGTGATTCTAATAAGAGACCTCTTCATACATATATATTAGCAAAGGTAGATAGTATTTGAGCCATACAGCACAAACTAATGTCTCCTTTCAATGAAAACAATGGGAAATCACAAAAAAGAGACCAAACAACTCCCAACTCCAAATAATTAAGGAATTGTTCTTTTAAAGTGTAACTTGAATGTAATTTTTGAGTTGAATTTAAGTTATAACTTGAATTGAAGTTGTAACTTGAATAAAATTGAGTAAAGTTGAATAAAATTAAAACTTAAAAGAACGTGAACTTGAATAAAGTTAGAACTCGAGTTTTTTTTTTGAGTTTTTTAGACAAAAGAACATGCCCTAAGTTTCTTTAACTTCTTGCTTCCCAAAAATGGGCTAGTCCAAATAAGGAAATCCCCAACCTGCTACTCCAACACCCAAAACCCAAACCAAGACGCCAAAAAAAGAAAATGCTGGGCTTACGCAAAAAGCCACCATACATGGCTACCGTATTGCGAACAAAGAAGCCGATCGAGCAATTCAACAGTCTGCTGCTTCTGATTCGTATTTACAGCTTTAAGTAAAGGAGGCCTGTGACACTTAATAATCCCAATAAGCAGTCAAGTCAAGAGCATGAATTTTCTAGTGCGTTTGGTTGGTAAATTCGTGTCATTATTCGAATCATAGTTCGTAGTTCGTTACAGTATTTTTTTCACAAAAAACACACATAAATCGAAAATGATTCTGAATCATGATTCTTAATCCATGAACCAAACATTCATTTTTTGTCGACTATGAATATTCATTGTCCGTGGCTCCTCCACACCAACCCGCAGAGGCCCCCTTATAAAACTGTGGTGTTATACAATATAACATGCCAATATATTTTCTTGTCCTCCTATTAATTCATGCTGTCATTGACAAACTGACGACTAATTTTCAACTCACAAAACACTAATCACACCAACAGGCAACATCCAAATCACTCAGATAGGATTTTCCAAATCAAACGTTTGTTGTGGTTCAAACTTTGCATCTTATTATCTGTCTAGCAGCTTTAGACAGCCTCAACCCACTGGCATAAGCATGCTCCGAATTAAGGGGTCACTGTTGAGTAATAAAAACAAATAAGCAAGCAAATTTGACAGTTAACTGAGTCTAATTCTATTCTTCCAGCACAACACAAAAACACATAATTTGAGGGGGACTAGGTAACGCAAACAAATAAAACTAAACAAACTCAGAATCAAATAACAAGCCTAACAAAATAACTCTGAACATATTTTTCAATTTAAGTCAAAATTCAAAGGACATTAACAGGGGTAAAACTTCAAAAAGGACAAGAACTTACCCAAAAGTCTTAAGAACCCGAACTCGACTTCCGAACCCATACTTGTTTCTGCATTGAAAATAGATATAGAACTAATTAACACAGCCATAAGTAAATAAATAAATAAATAATAGTGACATAGTATACATCCAACAATCAAGTTTAAGCACCTCATGGGAACCACAACTAGAGGCGCCACCACTCTTTGAATGCTTCCCTTCACTTGCAATGAACGAGCCATCACCTTCCTTTACATTATTCATTGATCCACAGCGACCAAGATGTTTATGATAGCCTACGTGGTTAACGCAACAAGAAATAAGCTATATGCGGATCTATATCTGCAAAAACATGCACCATCCATACAAAATAGTATCATCTTACTACATAATTTCAAGTGACAAAAACGCTATCATTATCTGAAGAATCTTAGATGGGATAGTAAGAGTGCATTCCTTGTTGAATATAAATTATTTCCAGCAGGCAACAACCAGTCAGTTTATTATTTAAAGAAATGAAAAAAGTGTTACCTCAGCCTTATGATGTGCACGATTGACTTCAAGTTCATCATAGATAATATAATTATCCTAATTACTAGATCAATCAAAGTAGCCTACATAATCATACATGTAATTAAACACAAAAACTTCGATACGAACTTCTACACTTAATAAAATAATACCTTCTAAAGAATCCACGAACCGTGCAGGTTGAGAAGCAACGGACGACGGGGACTCATCCTTTGCAAGAGATCCATCTGAATGATGACGAGGTGCCCATACACCACGGTCAGGTCGATCCTTATTCCTGGTACGTTTCTCCTTTTTCTCACTACAAAAACCATGCATGTCACTCCCAACACCCTTGTAGTCCATAGCACCATTAGTATCCTTCAAAATTACTTGTCCATGTTGAGGTCGAGAATGCCGTTTGTCCTTTTCCATCTTTGGTGCCTGGATTTGCATATCAGAGTGAATTGCGGAAGAATGATATTGACAGGCATTCTTGTTCTGGAGTATGCTTTTGCTGATCCTTCCCCCACTACGTTTGCATTGCTCGATCTGCTTGAGGGAACTTAAACCGACAATAATTTTAGTTGAAGTATTCTGATGCTGTGGAATATTGGTTGACACCTGTCAGGAAGTAACAGACATGTCAGGAAGTAACAGACCAGTCACATCAGATAAGCAATCATAAAGCAATAACTAGGATATGATTCTGGTAAAAATGTTAAAAAGCCAAAAACTCTGAAGAGATTTTAAGGTCTTTCAACAAGATTATCAGCAAGTAGAAGGTGAAAAAAAAATATCACTACTTTGCTGTCTCCACAATTTATCCGAGTACATACTCCTGTTTAAGGAATATTGCCATGTCCACTGGTCTCTATTTTTAACAGCTGAACCTATTTACTTATTGGATGAGTAGAAGGTATCAACGGAGCTTAAGGATGTTCCTAATTCTCTTATTCAGATATACCGAGGATCTTTATATTGAGACTTTTGTTTGATTTTGTTAGGATCCTGGTTGAGTCCCACATTACTAAAGTAAGAGCTTAGCATGTGGGTTTATAACCACTTGGACACCCTCTCTCTACAAGCTAGTTTTTGGAGATGAGTTTTACCCAAGGGTTATAACAGATTTTCTGTTTCTTGGTTGAGGACTCGTCATTCTATTCCACTTCTGTTAAGCACTCTGACTTGATCAATTCAATAATCTACTTCGCCTTAAAAAAATAAAATAAATCCACACTTGCCAAAAATTAATAATGTGAAACGATGGTAAACGAGAACAGGATAATAAGGAACAAGGAGAAGAAATTACATGAGATGTCTCCCTTTCTTTCGCTGTCAGAAGCAGAACTCTCTTTTTCCCTGAAATTATTAGTTTCATACATTAATTAATACTAGAAAAGAAAAAAGGTACTTTCAAAGAGAGAGAGAGAGAGAGAGAGAAGGTCCAAATAAGAGAGAGAAAAATACAAAGATAACATCGAATAAAAGTATTATAAACAATATGATGTTCAGGATGTCAGTAAGAGAAATTCCACCCAATCCACAAGCATATCTCACAGTAAATTCTTAATCGTCAAAATACACATTGGAAAGCCAACGTTATGACCTACCACTTTCCTCTAACACTTCAGCTCCAGCTGTAGAAGAGAAAGTATCTCGCTTAGCCACACCAATGTATTTTGACTTGCCTCTGACAGTAGTGTTTTTGATAGCATCTCTCAAAACATACTGCCCATATCAAATGTTTCTGGTCATCATGAATGTTTACGTTGAAAAATACTCAAAATGTTTGAAAACAAAAGCCGTATAAAAAATTGACATTAAAAGGATCATGGAAATCCAAAAAATCCAGAGAGAATCTGGATTTATCCAAAACAAATCCATCATGGAAATCCTAGAAGTCATAACAACATGATATGCACAAATATAAAACCAACAAACCATTTTAGTGGTATTCCTTCTCCTATCAGTTCCTCGCTTTGATAAGCCTGAATTAAGACCTTCCGCTGATGATCCAACACCTTGCCGCCTTAATTTACCATTAGACAATGACCTCTGTCACAACAAGCAGGAGTATTTACTAATTAGATGAGTTTACCACCCAATAGCAGCACCCAAAGCTAAAAAACACATACACAATCAAATCTCAAGATCTTTATTCATGTGATTATTAAAATACCCAAGATCCACCCTTTGCAGCTCTTTTTTGACGAACAGAGTCCATCAGTGGCGTAACTATAGGAGTGTCTTTCATAGCACCTAAAACTGGCGGAACAAATACAATATTTAGGGGAAAAAGTATCAATTAAGCTCCTGATGCTTCATACATCAAAGTGATTTTCCTTCAATGTCTACATTCTACATTAGAGATCTTTTGAACTAACCAGCTCTTTCTGCTTCTCTTCTCTCCAACTCTTTCTCAGCACTAGGAAGATTCTCAGCAGGCTTCGCCAGAAACTCAAGGAACTCCAGATACTCAGAATCTAGATGTTCATCAACAAAATACTACTTACAGAAAGGAGACGATTACATGCATAAATAAGTCCACAAGCAAGAGAGCAGCTACATGTTGAAGCTGAATTAGGTGGAAAGAAAAAGTTAAAACAGCTTAGTACCCATATTTATGGTTCCTTCACGACCATCCTTCTTTGACCATTGTTTTGGAACACGTTGCGAAGGGGCATACTCGACAGTAGTTTTGAACTGAATGCCTGAGAAAAAAAGAGGAGGGAATGTTTAGTTGTTTAACAAAGAAAAGGAGGAAAAGAACAAAAAAAACAAAAAACAAAAAAAAATAAAGGAAACCCACAAAAGTGTTTCATGTCACGTGACAGATACTATACTTTTTTCTGAATGCAATATTATGAGAAAGAGGCAAAGAGGTTCATTGTCCTCTCTAAGTACAAAATGTTAAGACGAAAAGTCTGTGACCAAATTCCCAGCAACACGATTAAAAAATTAATCAATCTCTTCAAAAATTAAACGTTCAAAATAAAGATTACCCTTTTCATTAACAAAGACATGGCCCCCAAATAATTCAGCAAACTCAACAACGTCCTCTGGCTTCTTGAAGTCGAGGTATGCTCTAGAAAAGGAATGCTTCTGCCTATAAAGTCGATCCAAACAAAGAACAATGATTACAGGAACTTATGCAACACAAAATGTGTGTGTGTGTGTGTGTGTGTGTGTGTGTGTGTGTGTGTGTGTGTATATATATATATATATATATATATATATATTTAATACCATAAAAACAAGGAATAAAGACCCAAAAAAGAAAGAGAAATTCATAATTGGGAACAATATTGAAAATAAAACTATATACGTTTCTGAATATATAAAAACACCATTAGAACTACTTGAATATATAAAAATACCATTACAATCACCATAGGTATAATATCACCCAACTTTAACACCAAAACCCTAGGTTCACTTCCACACACTATACTCCAACTTAAATTCCACAGTGGATTTACGAAATCCTATAGAACAAGATAAAACATAGCACAAAACTGCAGAAAATAAGTTCCACTCCGAGCCATAAAAAAACCCCCCAAGAAAAGGAACGTTTATTTATGTACCTGTTCTTGCCGGGGCGGAAGGAGAGCCAACTGTAGCGACCGGCGAAGACGGAATCGATCCGCTCGAGGAGCGCCGCCTTGGAAATGGTGGGCGGCAAGTGGCGAAGCACCACCTTGGTTCGATCAAACTGCTGTTGCCCCTTCATCTTCCTTACTTGCACCAAAAGAAACAAAAAAACCCACCAATTCGAATGCCCTCTATCGAATTGCTTGTAGAACCAACGGGAATACTCCGTCAGATTACATCTTCCTAGCGTCAGCCTGGTAATTGGAAACTTGGGGTGCCCTAGTTATGGAGTTTTTTGCCCGAAATCATGGCAGCCACGAATCAACTGGAAAATAATAATAATAATACCAGAAACCGAAACTCAAGCAATCATCTATACGGTGGCGTTTTGCGCGTCTTTCCTTAAATAAATAAGTAATAATAAATTCTCCTTGTATAGTTTTTCTTTCCCGAGAAATTTCCTTGTGTACTTTTGACTTATGAGCGCTCGTGTTACCTTCTTATTTTTGAAAAAATAATAATAATAATAATAACAATGTTTGTTATTATTTAGAATCCGTTAAGTTCGTTTATTTAAATTTTTAATTTAAGTTAAGATGTGATTTTATATGAGAATTTTTTACTATAGTAAAAAAATTAGATGTGATTGTTTCTGTGAGTTTTTTATTGTAATAAAACTTAAATTTTAAATTCGAATTAGTTAAATGAACGAGACTTAAATACTTACCGCGAACCACGTATCTTATGCATTCGTCTTCCTTTTTTCATATCCTAGTTCTTTTTTCAAAAAAAAAAAACAGAGAGAGAGAGAAACGTTCATTTAGATTTTTGTATGAAATAGAAACCTTCTATGTAACTTGGTCTATGGTTATAAATTAGTTTTCTTATGGGAGTTGTCTTTAGACATAAATACATACATATGTGTACAATCATTTATGAGCGCATAAAAAGTAAAGAATTGGATAAGTGACTCAAAATTAAAATACGAGATTTTTTAATATCAAAATAAATATTAATAAAGTCGAAAATACTAATAAAAGTAACAATATATGAAACATTAAGGAATGATAGTTTTAAAAACAATGATTGAGGCCTCTTAACTGTGACAATTTGAGTAAACCAGACAATATCATATCAAATTGAGGTGCGAATCATTACACAATATCCTAAAAAAAGACTTCGAGAAAATATTGCATATTCCCTTAAATAAAATAAATAAATAACGTTGCATATTGCCAAAACGACAACACCAACGCATATGCGGCAGTACGACACAATACTAGAAACGACGAAATGGCATCAAGTTGACACACATTCTCTAGAAGACGTAACCATACGGTACGGTAGACGACGTATATTGCAAACGACAGCATGTCATGTATGATTGATGATTCTTTCTGAACAACGTCATATCCTAAAACGACAACCTTCACTATAAACTACATAACTAAAATCTATAAATGCAAAAAATAATAATAATAATAAGGTATGTTAAACATGAGATCATATAAGCAAAATTTTAAAATGTAAAACTTTTGGAATTATGTGAGCTCAATTGACAGTTACTTCTAACGCGCAAAGAGTAACCATCAATCGATTAGATTTTTAGAAACTCATTAATAACTAATTTTCGACAAAACCTTATTCAGCTAAGTATCACGCAATGCATACAGTCCTAAAATAATAACAATTCACTTAACATAATAAATATACACATAAAAATAAGATACATATAAGGTATGCAATAAAGATATTACGATATCAATATTCGTATCTCAAAGCATGCATTTTACGTATTCAAAAATATTATATAGTAATTTTTTAAGAAACTATAAATCGAAACAATGACGATATTTTTTTATCTTACCACATAATTTTGCATAAAAATCCCCTAAAAAAATTACCCATAGGGAAAAAGGAAACACTCCATAAATTTCCTCTTTTTTTTTTCTCTCGTTAATACACCATAAATCTCTTTGAATGGTGGAAAACGACAATATCCCGATATCAAACATTTTTTATCTATTTATTTTTATCAAATTCAATATTATATGCGGTCGAATTATTTTCCTATTTCGGGTAAAAAAAAGGAAAAAAGATTCAGGGGTGATTTTGATGGAGTATAAATAAGAGCAAAAAGCCAAAATAATCTCCACGAACGACTCCTCTTTCATTGAGTAGAGACTCGAGACTAGAGAGAGAGAGAGTAGTAGGGCTTTTTATTTAGTCTCTTCTCTTTCTCTCCAGTCTCTCTCTCTCTCACTCGCAGCAGCACACCCACAACCCAACTCGATTCAATCTCTCTCTTCTATCTCTAGTGAGCTTCTCTCTCTATCTCTTTTATATGATATAATACATGGATATAATCATATATCAGTTGTTTTTACGTTCTGGGTTTATGTGTGTGTGTATATATATATGTATATGTATTGATTGATTGATGTATTTATTGGTATTTATTTTGTTTTCAGAGTTTGAGTTTTGTTTAAGTGTTTGGATGATGGGGGACAGAATCCCGCCGGGGAGTTACTTTCAATTCCCGCCTCCTCCTGCTCCGGGAGTCATTGCTTCTCCCCACAGGTCTTCTTCTCTTCCTGTGGATCGAGAAAGGTCGTTTTCTCTATTCGTTTTTTCTTTTCTATTTTTTTTTTTTATGATTGTTGGATAATCTTCATTTTCTTTTTCTCTATTGGGTATTTGTTAATATATTCTATAGGTTATTCCATATGAAAAAAAGAATATAAAAAGATTGTTTCTTTTACTCAAAAAATATAAAAAGAGTGTTTCTTGAATAACTAGAGTCCTGAGAGATCTGGAGACTCGTGGCATATTTTATTGTGCAATTGGAACTGGTTCTGATAGAGTTAAATTATTATGTTTCTTCTGTGCTATAATATTGATTTTCTTTTCCTTCTTTTCTGGTTTTGCCCTTTACTTGGAAGTAAAGATTTTGCATAAACTGTAGTTTTGATTTGTTTCACAATTGGCAGATATCTGACTGAATTGCTGGCGGAGAGGCAAAAGTTGGGGCCATTCATGCAAGTTTTACCCCACTGTACCAAACTACTTTATCAAGGTTTATATAAAATTTTTTATGTATACTTTGTTTTGAGATATTTGTCCTTGTTAAATATTTTGCCGTGTTTTTAGATCTTTCGTGATGTATTTCTATGTGTATATGTTGCTATTTAGCATAGCTTCAATGCTTGTTTTACCTGAAATGAAGCGAAGAAGGTTTTGCAAACCTCTCGTTACTCGAGCATGGATGCTAAACCATGGACTGTTCATATATAGTTTGTATTTTGAGTACCTCATGTGTACTTTGAAAATTGGCTGTTCTGTTTTCTTGTATGTCTATACTTTATGCCTGCCTAGCATATGGAATGTGTGAATTATGTGATCTTTGATAATGCCAATGGTGAATCCACAAAAGAATCGAAGAATTTTTTTTTCTTTTTAATAACCTGAGGGTGGGATGATTTCAAGACCTCTAAATGGAATGTGATTGTGGAATTACCGTTGAGCTAAGCCTGTATATGAGGATGATTTAATCAAAGCTTCGTGTTTTATGAGTAATAAGATAGTCTTTGTGGTGTTGTGGTGGTGTTGTGGTTGTCTTATTCCTGCAATTGCCAACAATGTTGATAGTCAGTTGATAGTCTTGGAAAGCCTTTTGATATTCTCTTATGCCTTGGCAATATTGTTACGTGCTGGAAAAGTGATACGATGTTACATGCTCTGTTACTTGGTGATTAATTGTGTTGGTCGGAAAGTTAATCTACAGTGAAAATGCTTGACAATCTGTAGAACTCATGCGTTTTTGTGCTGAAACTTGACCTTTGCTCTCATGCCATCACAGAAATCAGAAGAACATCGAGCTTCAATCAAACTTTTGTAGACCATGAAAGACTTGAGCATGACAGTCCATATCGATCATTAGGTCAAGTTCCAAACGGCAGACCAATGGATTTGGAGGGATGGCCTGCAATGCAAATAGAGGTAATGCTACACACACACACACACACACAAATATATATATATGTGTGTGTGTGTGTGTGTATTGCACACACACACACACACACACACTATATATATATATATATATGTATGTATGTGTATTGCACACACACACACACACACACTATATATATATATATATATGTATGTATGTATGTGTGTGTGTGTGTGTGTATATATATTTGTAACAATTGTCAATCCTCGGTTTTATGTTTGTCTTATGTGGAATACTATATGCAAGGGGTACTATTTAGTTTTAATTGCCTTTTTCCAAAATAAGTTTATCTTTTCATTTCTTGTGAGTGAACATATTCTGGTATTATCTTCAATAATGAATTGTTTTATTTTGTCTTTTATTTGTGCAAGTTTGTTGGTGAATTTCTTACGAGGTTGTAATTGGAGCTGCCTGTTTGTCTCATTTCATCCCTTATTAATTACTTCTTCGAATGCTAAAGAAGTTAAAAAATCTATAGCAGGCTGTTTTATGGTTTTCAGTGAACCTGGACTCCAACTTCTTAGAATAGTTCTAAGGAAAAAACCTTTCATGTTACATTTGTCAGGGCATTTAGGTTGTATTAGATGTAGTGTTGTGCGCATTAAATGATGACACACATTTTTTGATCTACAACCTCTCAAAAATTAAAGAAGCATGAAAGTACAATGACCTAATGTGATACTTCTCTTTTCTGTCTTTGATCTATACTACGAGGCTTGATGTTATGTGTCACGCCCCATGTCAATACATACTTCCCCACCGAGTATCTTTCCTATGGTGTTGTATCATTTGCTTAAAAGATAAGAATGGAAAATGTACTAGGGGATAATCACGTGAACAGAGTGTGAACGCGCTTAACCATACGCAAAGAGAGATTGTTGTTATTTTGTTTGTGTCATGTAAAAACTTTCTTGATTTCAAGACTGAGAAATCGTGTGCTCTAAATCATGGAAATTTCATTACCGCAAATTTTGTCTGTAGGAGAATGGACATATCAGCAGAATGGCGCCATTCCAGTCTCCTTCTCCAATGGGATGGCCCGCAGTGCAAGGAATCCCAACCACTCCTAATGTAAAGAAGGTTATTAGGCTTGATATTCCAGTGGACAAATATCCAAGTGTAAGTAATGTTGATCCTATCTAATTTTTAGTTGATATTAAATTTAGTCTCCGAATGTGATGGGTTTTCTCACTTCAAGCTTGCAGTACAACTTTGTTGGCCGAATTTTGGGACCGCGTGGAAACTCCCTGAAAAGAGTTGAGGCTATGACGGAATGCAGGGTGTACATAAGAGGCCGGGGCTCTGTGAAGGATGCTGTAAAGGTTTGTTATCATGTGATCCTTTAAGCGTTGGATTTGGACTGAAATAGGGGTGAGGGGAAATGTATTCTTTTTCACCCTTTCCACAAAATCTTTTATTAACTAATGTGTGCCAAAATATTCCTTTCATACTTCAGGAAGAGAAACTAAAAGATAAACCCGGATATGAACACCTTAATGAGCCATTGCATGTATTGGTAGAGGCTGAATTTCCTGAAGATGTGGTAAATGCGCGCTTGGATCATGCGGTGGCAATACTAGAGAACCTCTTGAAGCCTGTGGTAAAGCAGAACCTTTTGAACCTTAACGAACCTTTTGTAGCTTTTGATCTGTCTTGTATTGCTTACTCAAAATTTGTACTAACCTCCCTGTTTTGATCTCTAAAACCCTCACTTTCCTCTAGGATGAGTCCTTCGATCACTACAAAAAGCAGCAATTAAGAGAATTGGCCATGCTGAATGGTACACTGAGGGAAGAAAGTCCGAGCATGAGCCCCAGCATGAGCCCCAGCATGTCTCCCTTCAACGCTACAGGAATGAAACGAGCCAAGACGGGGAGATGACCCCCACATCACTGATGAACCAGAATTTGTTTAACCGGTGACTTAGCAGCGTATAATTAATTTTTGGACCTTATAGCATCTTTCTTATAAGTATCATCCACCGAACCCCCGGAAGTTTGTATTCAAGCTGCCAACAGATCAACTCCTAAGTAAATTCTTGGGCTCTGATTGTTTGGCATGTCTTGCAAGCTTACTCCTGCCACATAGATTTTGGTTTGGCGTCCACAGTTCTATTCTTTAAATGTACCATTCATTTAAGAGTCGAACACATGATGATTAATATTATATTCATTAGTTATTTGTAACTTGTAGCCAGTCAGTTGACTTAGACTAATCTATGTTTCTGGCAGCTGCTGAGTTGTACACAGAGTTTTGGCTTACTTTGGCAAATTCTTTGCTTACCTAGTTTGTTATTTGTTACTGGAACTCTACATGCATATGCTTGTATATGCGTGGTCTCAAACTGCAAGATAAATAAGTTTTGTTTTGTATTACATGATATTGCCTTTTGTTCTAGCTATAGCTTTTGGGTTTACAAATTGCATAAGTGCATATTCATACCTCTACATGTAAATTAGTTGTACTTGGATAAGATTCAAGTCGTGCACAAAGTTGATATGATCTTATTCATGAAACTATTGAACAGTTTTCAGCAGAATTCACGGAAGCTAGCCTGCAACCTCACCTGCTCAGGCTATTTTTCTGTCGGAAGTCGTCGTCCGGCTGTAGAAGGTCCCTGAGCAGGTCAGTTTACCGGCTAGCTTTGTGAATTCTGTTGAAATGTTTACAAGTTATGACTTGGGGAGGCGTTTTGTACAAATTAGTATGTACACTTCTCTCATTTATTTTATGTATCCTTTATGAAGGTATTACATCACATCAAATCTTGGTTCTCATTGCAACAAGTATTCGCAATCAAGAACTAGTAACATTGGCGCCTTTTGAAATAAAGCACATATTAAGGTCTCGTTCGTTTCGCGGATTCGAGTTTTCAATTCGAGCTTAGATGTGACATTTTCTGAGAGCTTTTAACCGTAATAGAAAAAGTTAGACGCGATATTTTCTGAGAACTTTTAACTATAGAAACTTAAAACAGAAAACTCGAATTGGTAAAATGAACGAAGCCTAAGTTTTAAAAGGCACTGAACCACTAAAAAACATCAAAAACTTCTATAAAAATAAATAAATAAATAAAAACCTTTTTAACATGCTTGTAAATCCGCCTGATGTAAAAGAAATTGTGTTTTTGATCTTAAATACAACAATTTTCTCGATTCCCGGCAAAAAATCTCCAAAAAAAAAAAAAAATTCAAAGTTAGTAATTATTTAAATGGAAGAACAATTGAAGATCAAAGTTAAATTTCTCTCAAAGCATCATCATTTCATTTATGAGGGATAATTGTCTTTTCACACAACTAATTGGGTCTAAACCTGACATCAAGGTGGATTTTGTGTTGAATGTAGATTCTTGTGTTTCGATTAAATGCTGGGGAAGTTTTTGTCACTATCCAAATGATAATTGGGAGTCAACAATTGTTCTCCTAAACCGAAATTGACAAGTAATTCTTGGCCGTTGAGAAAGAAAAGAACAAAAACAAAAGATGTAGAAGCACCTCAACTCTTAACAAACTAAAAATTGTAAGATGTAGGGATTGGTCAGTCCCGAAGACCAAGTTCAAGCTCAAGATCATCATCCTCTTCAAACAACTTCAAAAGCCGGGCATACTGCTCTTCTCTTTTCTTCTTTTGCCATAACTTGAATAGGAAAAATGAAAACAATGCCACTGCTACAAGCACGACGACTACGATGATCACCACAGAGCCATTGCTGCTAGTGGCTTTGGAATGAGTCTCAACTTTTTTACCAGTTTCGGAATCACCCGAAAGTCCTGAAAAGCAATAGAAAGATAAATACATAAACTTGGAAGAAATAGATTTTGGTCTTAGTAATATCTGAAAAACAAAGATACTAGATTATGATCGGCAGGATAATAAAAAAAAAAATCAGTTTTTCATAACATGTACCAACCGGTTTCAGATAGATGAATTAGGAAAGCTGGGATCTCAGGCAAATAAGATCTATCACAGAAGTAATAAGACTCCAATTACTCCATTTTAAAGTTTGTCCAAAACAAACGAAAGTAAGCACAGTAGTAGCATAGAATATTTAAAAGTGAAAAGTATTATTCCAATTTGTGAGCTTTCGCAATTGCTTGAGCAAAATATTACATTGAATTGTATTTAAGATCGTTCGGAATTGTTGTTGAAGGCAATTTTTACATTGTTAACTATCTGCAACAGGTTAACAATCTAAAAGTTGAAAGAATTTGCTATTTGAGAAGCGGTTTTTAAATCTACTCAAATGTACTTTATAATAAACTATAATTCTAAACCCACTAATATCTCTATAACAAAAAGAAAAAGCTTTTATCTTTCTCTTTTCTTTTTTTTTTTACCAAGAAAGAATACATAATTTTAGTGAAATTCTTTAATTTCTAGATGCTAAATTAATTTGCATTTAACGTGCCACTTCTATATAATTGTAGAAATTAATCGTATTTAAAATTAGAGTGATAATTTTCTGCGTTATAGATACTAAATATACATATTAACTCGAACCAAATTGGTCAAAACTATCACTAATTTCAAACTTTTCACGGGTTTCAGCTATCGAATCCAACAGCTATCTTAGAAATCGTGAAAAATTTCTGCATGCAAAACATTTTCTTCCAATATTTAAACGCCGATATAATCAAAAGAACGATAGCAAGGAAAAAAAATGATCAAGAGAAGAGGCAAGAGAGATCTGAGGAACAAAACCTAGAAGGAATTGCAGAGAAATTGAAATCAATAAGAGAAGAAAACGCCACGATTTGCTTCCTGGAATTTCATTCATCTCTGTTTTCTCTCTGAGAATTCTTTCTCTGAAAACTCTCTCTATGTATATATATAATTATTGCGTGCAATAAATTTGTGCTTGGAGAAAAAAATTGTGTTTGGAGAAATCGTACTTTCGCAGAAAGTTGCAACGAACGCCACAGTTCTTTCAGAAATTAAATAATAGGACCAACTCTTTTTGCCGAGTTGCTCTGTAGTTCTCTATATTTTTAGTTTCGCCACTGCGGTTACTTCTATTTCTGCTCTATCCCAAATTTCCGAAATCTTTTTGGAATGTGAAAGTCAAGTCGGATGCCTAATGTTTAAGACAATGTTAGTGTGTTAGGAATCCCAAACTATATATAAAATTATTCATATTTACTTACGAATAAATTCACCAAATAAAATGAGTTGTTACCTTTCGTGAATGAATTCACCAATTAAAATGATAATTCACCCCATATGTTGCAAAAATTTGCTAGATAATTAAAGATTTTATCATTATCTGTTCTGAAAAAAAAAGGGAAGTGTTTTCCATATATTTCATATTCAAAAATAATATTGTTTTGAAAAAAATATAATAAAGTTTTTGATGTTGGTCCAAAATCTACATAGTAGCAATAAAAAATTCAATTAATAGGCCATGGAATCACAAAGCACGATGTTGTAATTTTCATTGTTTTTGTGTAAACAATTTGTTACCATTTATTTATTATGGCAAATCACATGGAAATTACTGTTGTTTTTCTTATTCATCATTGCCTGCTTTTTTTTTCCTTATTATCGCATTTTTTTAAGTCAATTATTGATGGTGTTCGTCCATTGTCGTTTTTCTTATACACTAGTTTTTTTAGCGTGCTTCGCGCACGAGTAAAATTCTATAAAAAATTAATTTCACATCTAGTAAAGTTTTTTATTTACAAGTTAGTGTTAATTATTTTAGATTTAGTTTAGAGATAATATTTTTTTCATTTTCATAAATTTAATCTTTGATATATTTATAAAAAAAAGAGTCTCAAAATTGATTTAGGTGCTCTAATACGATCTATCAAGAGCTTCTATTGAATTTTAACTAATATTAAGATAAAAATAAAAAACAATTATATTTTTTCATGATTCAAGTTAAAAATACTTTAGATGGTGACTACGTTAATTTATTTTGAATCAAAACAAGAATAATATTATATCGTATTATAAAATAAACCCTACTTTATAGAACATAAAATCAAATAGAAAACTGATTAGGATGTACATATAAAAAATAAAAAGATGTTTAAATATGAGCATATAAAAAATAATTAAAAACAAATCAAATAGAAAATTAATTAGTGTATTCGTATGAGAAGCATAAAAATGCTTGATTAAGGATATTTTGGAGAAAGTTATTTTAATGTAAAAACGAATGACAAGATTAGTCAAACATATTTAGAACTTGTTCTTTTCATAATTTGAATAACAACTCAAATTTTTTGTTCTAATATTTTCTTTTATAAAAATTCAAATTTAACCATTTTGTTTAGTGTAATATTTTCTCTCATATAAATTTATTTTTTCTCAAATTGAATAGGAATAAAAGTATTTGAGTATGAATACATTTATAAAAAATATTTAAATTGGGCAATTAGAAAAGGAAAATAATTCTCATGTAGTGGAAGAAACATCAATGAAGGACAAAAGTATAAATAAAAAATAACTAAGGGCCAAAAACCAAAGTAAGAAAAGAAAAAAAAGACAAAAAAAGGGATAACGTGGAAGCACCGTACATCAACCTTTATTATGTTTGGTTCATGGATTAGAATCATGATATTAAAATTATTTTTGATTTATGTGTATTTTTTATAAGAAAAAACACTGTAACAAACTATGAACCATGATTCAAATCGGGGTACGAATCCCCTAACCAAACAACCCTATAAGATTATTCCACTCTTTAGGAGAAACCATGAGTTTTGTAGGAAGATGCGCTTTTGAATTTACGGTACCTTTTTTGCTGAAGAAGCTACATAGCAAAGAAACTACGGGTGCGTTTGGAACTCGTATTAAAATGATTTTATTTTTTGTATGAAAATGAAAACGTTTTCAATCTCAAACATAAATTAAAAATAAAAATGCGTTTGGTAGTTTTTTTAGGAGATTATTTTCAGTATAAAAAATTCATTAATGTTTCTCTTTCTACTCGAGAAGAGAGAAAATGGAAACAAAAAATAAAAAACGACTAAAATTCATTTTTCATTTTTCTCTCACTTTACACTAAATTAAAAAATCATTTTCATTTCTGTTTTTTGTCTTTAAGTGTGCCAAACACCGTTTCTCTTCCGTTTTCATTTTTTTCTCAAAAAACGTGAAAAACAAAAATGAAAACAACTTCAAACACACCCTACACTTTTAAACCTTATTTACATCGATTTAAATTTTTAATTCTAATTTTATTACAGTTTAAAACTCTCATAAAAAACTACATTTAAAAATTTTCACATCAAATTATATCTCAATCTCAGCTTAAATTTAAAATTCAATCTCAACTTAAATTTAAAACTCGAATTTTTAATTCTAATTTTATTACAGTTTAAAACTCTCATAAAAAACTACATTTAAAAATTTTCACATCAAATTATATTTCAATCTCAGCTTAAATTTAAAATTCAATCTCAACTTAAATTTAAAACT